CAAAACAAGTATATGCCAGTGCAAAATGAAACCATATCTCTTCCTCACCACGTTGTATACTGTCGGGTAGATCGCTAGTCATGGTCTGAAGCCACAAATGGGTCAAATTAGCATCTCCACCCAGATGCTGTACTCTCAGCCATGGCCCGAAGCAGGTTTCCTCAAACAATTTTCTTTGTGTAGGTGAAAGCTTCGAAGCAATTGTAGTGGCTAGGCTAACTTTATTCCTTAATGTCAATGAAGCCGAAAAAAAATTCTACAAAAACAATAAACATACCAAGTTAGATATACCAAAAACTACACTGTCAAGATATACCAAAAACAATAAACATAAATAGTAGTTTATTCTTGAAACTAAAATTTGCAACACTGTTTTGTCTTTTGGTTGAAATGAAAATCGCAACGAGATAATGAGAATCGCAACGCGGAAATGACTATCGCAACGAGAGAATCGCAACACGAAATGACTATCGCAACGCGAAATGAAAATCGCAATGCGATTTTGGTTTCGCATTGCGATTTTTATTTCGCGTTGCGATTTTCATTCTCGAAACTATTCTTCTTCTACATTACTTCAACCAAAAGACAAAAACAAAGACAAATACTAACTTCACAGGCTAAACAGTTTAGCAGTATTGGCAGCAATCGAATGAATTTAATAAGAAATCTAAGTGAAATGGTTAATCTATTATTGAAATTACCAGTAAACTTATCATCAATCTCAATATGAAAAACCTAAAATAATGCAAAAATTTCAAAATAAAAATAAAACAAAACTAACCATCGGAGGTTGATTTTCCATTTCTGAATGATTGTGAGGGATTTTTGACTGTGAATGGTTGTGAGGGATTTCGCCGGCGATGGGGACGGAAATCTTCGGAGATGGGGATGGATTTCGCCGTAGAAAGTGAGAGATGGAGATGGGACTGAGTGTTGTGATTTTAGGTTTGAGGTTATGAGTTGCGATTACTGTGGACGGTTCAGTTTCCGATTTATTAAGAAAAAATTCGTGTTTGGAATTTGAAAAAAAAATACGCGTTAATACGAATGACGCTATGTAAATCGCAATGCGAATTAGGAAAATTGCATTGCGATAGTCAGTATCGCATTGCGATTTTCCAAATTCGCATTGCGATTTACTTATTCGTATTGCGAATTGGGAAAATCGCAACGCGAAATTAGAAAATCGCATTGCGATAGTCATAATCGCGTTGCGAATCTGGAAACTGATTTGCGATAATGGAGATCGCGTTGCGAATTAGCGATCGCATTGCGATTTTGTTGGTCATTTTGACAAATCAGGAAAAAGTTAGTTAAAATCGTATATTATATGAGATTTTTGGTCACTCAGGTTATTTTCTAAAAAAAAAACAAAAAGGGGGGAAGAAGTTTGACACGGAAGTTGTTGCAAAAGATAAACAAGCTTTTCAATAATTTCACTGTTGAAGAGATAGATTGCGAAAAATCAAAATATGTCATCAGTAGATATGGTAATATTGGTTAGATAAACTTGATGGTACTAGTAGATGAGCATTACCTGTTAACAACTATGCATGTAAAGCAAATATTGAGCCTGTATTAGAGTATCAAAATCTTGTATTATGTTTGAAAGAAATAAAATCATACACGGTGAATATTATATTCGCATTGATTGACTAAACGTTGGTGTCATCAACAATATCGATTATGATGATAAATTGACAATCAAGCATAAAACCATATATTAGTACCATAATGCTTACCATTCCAGGTGCCCAATCCACATTTGTCTTTTTCATCTTTTATAATTTTATGCAGATCAAAAATATTATTAAATTATATTAAAATAATTTTTAATCACTAAAGCTCTAAGAATACAAAACAATCACTAAATTTTATAAATGATTTTAAAATAAAATCTTATTAAATTATTCCAAAAGAATCATTTATTTTATAAAATTATTATAAAATGACTTGGGTCCAAGTGAACCGCATATAATATATGATATATCACATCCCCATGGCTCACTAAAGTAAGAAACAAACAAACAAAAAAAGGAAAGAGAAGTTTGACACGGAAGTTGTTGCAAGTATCTACTTGAATGAATTATGTCTGAAACTATAGCGATAATAAAATTAAAGATTTAGATATTATTAAATTTTGTTTATTGTTTGAAATATATTATTGTAGACACCTATTTTTGTTTGAGGTCTTTATTATATTATATAACATATAGTTTTTGAAAATATATAATATAGGTTTTAAAAATATATTTTTGAAAACGTATAATATATAATTTTTGAAAATGTATTTTTGAAAACGTATAATATGTAATTTTTAAAAACTTATTTTTTGAAAACATAATGTTTTGAAAATATATTATATGATTTTGAAAATATAATATATTATATAGTTTTTTCTTTTAAAATATATATATATTAAGCTTATTATTATTATTATTATTATTATTATTATTATTATTTTTATATATTATATTATTATTATTATTTTGGGTTTTTAGGGTACAAGTCTGGTCCAATAAAAGGGGTCCAAAAATAGGTCCAAAAACATAACCTAACAGGCTAGCCTGGCCCAGTAGACCTGGTGGAAAATCAGAGGCCCAAGAAACAAGCCCAAGCCACTAGGGTTTCATCATCAAGTCCAACGTCTCACAAATGAGGGTCGTTAGATCGAGATGGAGATCAACGGCCAGAATCGTAAGAGAGCTAGGTTTGTTTAACCCTAAAATATTATCACACCACAGTCGATCTTGGACCGTTGGATCTGTAACCAATCCAACGACTGAGATCAAATCCAAGAATGTTCTAGAAGCTAGAGAGCCACCGATGGTAGTGCGTGGGAATCACACGCCGATGAGATTACCAGTTGATCGAGATTTCGGCGTTTGGAACATAAAGATTGAAGCAACTCGGACTAAACCATCTGAGATCTCCGGTCAAACACAAACCACGAACAACCGAAAAACAACCCCAAAGATCGGAGCAACTCAGACTGGACCATCCGAGATCTCATGTCAAACATGAACAACCGAGAAACAACCCCGCAATACTCGAAAATACCTGAGATGCTTGGAAAAAAACCACTGTCGGGGGGGGCTATATAAACCCCACCAAGCCATCGAATAACAACAACAGAGAGAACCGTACACGGAAGAAACAAAACACAACAATAAAGCAAAAACCACAAAACCATCGAAGAAGAAAAAACAGTGCACCACAAATATCCGAAAAACCAAGGGCAAAACATTCGAAATCGGAAGAAAAGGTAAAGTCTAAAGACTTTATTTCAACGAAGAACACCAGGAGCGCATCGAGATCTTATTGGGAAAAAGAAAAACCGTCAAGAATTCGAAAAGACATCGAATTAAAGGTAAAAACGAATCTTTGGTTTTAGATCTCCGCCTATAGGAGCTTTTTTAAAAAATCGGGCCTCGATTTGGGGTTTAAGATGTCAGAGAGAATATTTTATGCTAGTTGAGATTTTTCCAATCACCGGTGGCGGCGGTCTAAGTGGTGGCTAGGCGGCGGTCAATCACCAGTTGTTGGCCGGCCATTGGGCCGGTTAAGGAGAGAGGGAAGAGTATTTGAGAGGGTTTGGGAAAATATTTTTTTGTGGGAAATGAGATATGTTTTTTTTTTGGGAATCAGTGGGTATTTATAGCAGGGGACAAAGGGTAATTATCAAAATTTTAATTTATTTCTGCAGCCCCTGATGTTTTGATGCGTAATTCATTTTGAAAATTTGTTGTAGATTTGCCCTTGAATTTTGAATTTATTCAATTTAATCCCTGTTTAAATTTCTTTTATTTTGCAAATTAACCCCTCCTAACTTTTTATTTTTCTTGCACCTTTCAAATAATATCAATTATGTCCTTATTAAATCCTTTTAATTTAGAGTTTTTTATTTTATATTTCTTAATTTAATTTTGTTTTAATATTTAATACTTATTTGATTTATATTTTTAGGTCAATTTTAATCGATCAAAGGCAAGTAATTCGGATCGAATCTTTAAATTTCAGTTTAACTTTTAATTTTCGCAATTAAGACAAGCGGAAAATTAAATTGGTACCAAGGGTACTAATCCTTCTTTGACTGTAATCGACTCCCGAGTCTAATACATTTCTGGTAAAACGCATATCATATAAAAATGGTCAATTAAGGTATCTGGTCAACCTAGTGATCGATGGCGTCTCTAATACATTTATTTAAGTCGAAGCCGAATTACAGGCACACCTGAAGGACGGTTGCGACAATTGTTAATTTTTATCAATTATAGTATTAAATTTTAGTTTTACTTGTAATTATGTCATTCTACCACTAAGTCTCGATGATACGATTAATTGTTGTTGACTTGAAATCCTACACTAAAACGATATTATTTTGGTGTGAATATTTTGATGTTTAAAAGATATCGTTTTAGACACTGAATTTAAATATGTATTGATTTTTTCACTAAACTTTTAAATGATTTACTTTTGACGTTATACTTTTCGACTCTTATCGACAACCAATCATCATCCACATCAATCATCTTTTGTGACAGAATTGGTATTAAGATGTTTACCTTTCGCATGTTGTCTAAAAGAATAAATTGATAAAGTTCAACATTAATATAAGCTCTCTAAATTTTATCACTTATATTAATAAAATATTCATGTATTTACTTACGTTATCCAGGATTCCATTCCAAGTCGGACAAATCAATTATGTCACCTTCAATTATGTAATAAAGATATTGATTGATTCATACAGAGATAGATACATGATTTTATGTTAAGAGATGAAACTATAAGATTTAAAGGAAGATAAATTTATAAAAATTTCAAGGGAATAAGAACATATTATCAATAAAAAGTATAAAAAAATACTTAAATTATGTGAGATTTTATAATTTTCATAGAAACGATTGTCCTGTCAATCTTCTTTCGATCCATCCTTGAATGTATATCCCTGTACCCATATATATTCGAAAAAAGAACATAATGATAGAAGCATGTTTTCAAAGCACAAGTGGGAAGTGGGGGTAAACCATAGTCATAGTCATCGAACATAGTGATAGAACCACCTCCAATTCGCACTTCAAATCATGAGATTGTTGGATGATATCTTGGATTAGTGATGTAATATTGAGGTAAGAAGAACCACCCACTTCAACTGCTTTCTTTGCCTCGTCTCCAAACTCTTGAGCTCTTTTCTTTTCGTTTTTAACATGTTCCTTCTTCAGCAAGAACCCAGATTTCTCATCACCAATGTTCGTAGGTTTGTCGATTCTAAGGCTCACTCGGATTTTCAGTATTTGTACTGCAAGTTTCTCGTTACTAAATTGGTCCACCAACAACGGCAATGTTATCAATGGGACGCCTGCTGAAATGCCTTCGATTGTCGAATTCCATCCACAATGTGTTAGGAAGCCTCCTATTGACCTGTGTGACAGAATCAGTACTTGGGGAGCCCATCCCTTAACTACAAGCCCTCTTCCTTTTATTATTTCCTCGAATCCATCCTCATCCATCCACTTCTTGACTTCGTTCGATGTTGTGTTGTTTCCTCTTAGGACCCAAATGAAGGGCTTGTTCGATGCCTCTAAGCCCAAACCCTACTCTATCAGCTCTGGACACTTTACAGTGCTGATGCTTCCATGACACGCATAGATAACAGAGTTGGTTTCTTGAGAGTCAAGCCACTTCAAACACTGCTGCTCATTGATCGAAGCCTTGTTACCTCTTTCAGCCTTATCCGACTCTTCCTTGTGGCTAAGAGAAACTGGACCTATACACCAAGCTTTCGTTAACTTCCGATACTGCTCGACGAAAGCTGACTCCAGCTCCTCGAAAGTATTTATGACAACCCCATATGATGCTTGGTTAGCTTCTAACATCGATTCACCTATTTCCGTCCAGGATTCATCCCTCTGAAGCGGTAACTGGGCTTTGGTGAATTCGACCTTTTCGGTCAAGCCTGGCACCGTGAAGTATTCGAAAATCAGAGGCTACGGTCTCGAGTATCTTGAAGGAATGTATGTTGTAGGAACAAAGGTTACAGAAGCAACAAGATCCATTGAACCATATCCTTGGAACCTTAAATCTGCTAGCAATTTTGTTGGTATAATAGAGGTACACGTCTGAAATAATGCAACTGGGGCGTGGTGTTAGCTTCTCAAACAACTTCTCCACTGATTCTTCCATCTTGTTTGCTGCAATGATGAATTTGCGGAAGTCCTCCGGGCTCCGATGAATGCACCATGTCTATGTTCTCAACTCCGTCTGCAAATCCGACTTCTTTACCAGGAAACGAGACCTGCACTAATCGGATAGGCTGCCCCAATTCGATAGCCCGAGCGATCGATTTCTGGATTCTGCCTGCGTTCATGGGTGTTGTAACCATAGTAACAATCATGCCACGCTGTGCTAATAGACGACCGATATCTAGCATGGGGAGCAAGTGGCCTTGAGCCATGAAAGGGAACAACACAAAATGGCATTGAGCCGACCGGAACTGGGAAAGAAAGTGAATTGTAAGCACACGGATGAAAAATGTATTATATATAGCTGATGCAAGAATTGTGAGCATATTGGTTTATCATGACAACTCATGACTGGACCGAATGGATGGGCGTAAGCAGTCACCCTTGGAATTATTAAATTTTCGTATTTTTATATTTTATATTTTATATTAATATTATTTTTTCGTGTTTAAAATTTTATAAATTTACTCCTAACATGAAATCATATATTTGATCTTGTTAAAATATTAGGCTAACTGTATGACCTGGAAACTGAAAAATTAAAACAAAATTTTAATAGAAAATCGTTTCATAATAAATTTTAAAATATCTGATATGAATTAATATAATAATAAATTAAATATAATATATTTTAGTAATTAATGGGGTCCATGTCTAGGATGTTTGAACCATATGTATATATATATGGCGGTGGCCTACTAAAGTGAGAAGCAAACCAAAAGGGACAAGAAGTTTGACACGGAATTTATTGCAAAAGATAGGAAACTTTTTTTTATGAGAGATTGCAACTTGGAGATCAAGAAAGGGAAGGGATCGAGAAGACTTGGAGATATTGAACTTGGAGAAGTTTGGAACGGAGTTTTTGCAAATATCTACCAGAATGAATGATGATCTGAAATTATAACGATAATAAAATAAAGGAGATTATTGAATTTGTTTATTAACTTGTTATATTATAAATTTTTTAATTTTATGTATTATAATATTAAAATTTAATTTTGTATTTAATTATATCACTATATTATCAAGTTTTAACGAAACAATGGCTAATTTGATGATGCGACATCTCACATCAAAATAACATTATTTTGGTGCGATTGTTTTGATACCTAAAATGATATCGTTGTAGACATTAAACTTTAGGGTGTATCGATTTTACCATTGAACTTTTAAACAATTACTTTTTAACACTACACGATCTATACTTTTCGATCCTCACCTACAGTCAATCACCACCGTCATTGATCATCTTTTGTGACAAAATTAGTATCAAAATGTTTACCTTTCATATTTTCTCTAAATTTTATAAATTTATCTTCTTTTAAAATTTTATAAATTTATCTCTTAACATAAAATTTTAAGGGAATAAAAACATATTATCAATAAAAATACAAAGAAAATACTTAAATTACATGAGAATTTGACATTTTTTAGAAAATACCAGTCTTCCTTCGATCCATCCCTAAATATATATTCATGTATCCATATATATTCGAAAAAAGAAGTAATGATAGAAACATGTTTTCAAAACACAAGTGGGAAGTGGGGGCAAACCATATTCATAGAACAATTGGTTTACATTGTAAAATTCATATTGATAGAACCATCTCCAATTCTCACTTCAAATCATGAGATGATGAATGATATCTTGGATTAATGATGTAATATTAAGGCAAAGAAGAACCACCCACTTCAACTGCTTTATTTGCCTTGTCTCCAAACTCTTTAGCTCTTTCTCTTCTATTCCTTCATCTCCTTCATCCATCAATTTCTCTATTGCATTTTTAACATGTTCCTTCATTCAACAAGAAACCTGATTTCTCATCACCAATGTTTGTAGGTTTGTCGATTCCAAGGCTCACTTCGATTTTCAGTATTTGTACTGCAAGTTTCTCGTTACTAAACTGGTCTGCCAATAGAGGCAATGTTATCAAGGGGACGCCTGCTGAAATGCCTTCGATTGTCGAATTCCATCCACAATGCGTTAGGAAGCCTCTTATTGCCCGGTGTGACAGAATGAGTACTTGGGGAGACCATCCGTTAACTACAAGTCCTCTTCCTTTCGTTCTTTCCTCGAATCCATCTTCTGCCATCCACTTCTCGACATCGTTCGATGTCGTGTTATTTCCTCTTAGCACCCACATGAAGGGCTTCTTCGATGCCTATAAGCCTAAACCCAATTCTATCAGCTCTGGACACTTTACAGTGCTGATGCTTCCAAGGCAAGCATAGATAACAGATTTCGTTCCTTTAGAATCAAGCCACTTTAAACACTGCTGCTCATTGATCGAAGCCTTGTTACCTCTTTCAGCCTTATCCGACTCGTCTTTGTGGCTAAGAGAAACTGGACCTATACACCAAGCTTTCGTTACCTTCCTATACTCCTCGACGAAAGCCGGCTCCAACTCCTCGAAAGTGTTTATGACAACCCCATATGTTGCTTTGCTAGCTTCTACAAAAGATCGAACTATTTCCTTCCAGGATTCATCAACCCTATCAAGCGGTAACTGGACTTTGGTAAATTCAACCTTTTCAGTCAAGCCTGGCACTGTGAAGTATTCGGAATCAGAGCCTACAGTCTCATGTATCTTGGAGGAATGTATATTGTGCAAACAAAGAGTACAGAAGCAACAAAATCCATTGAACGATATCCTTGGAACCTTAAACCTGGTAGCAATTTTGTGGGTATAATAGAGGCACAAGTCTGAAATAATTCAATTGGGGCGTGGTGTTAGCTTCTCGAACAATTTCTCCACTTCATCTTCCATCTTGTTTGCTGCAACAAAGAATTTGCGGAAGTCCTCCACCGAATGCACCATGTCTACATTCTCGACCCCATCCGGCAATCCGACTTCATTTCCGGGAAACCGGAGCTGCACTAAACGGATAGGATGCACCAATTCGATAGCTTTAGAGATTGATTTCTGGACTCTGTCTGCATTATGAGGCGTTGTAACTATAGTAACAATAACGTCACGCTGTGCCATCAGTGTACCAATATCTACCATGGGTAGCAAGTGGCCTTGTGCCACGAAAGGGAACAACACAAAGTGAGGCTTCTCGGATATGTAACCCATTGAAATGAAGAGTAAAAGGAAGACGAAACTGAATTTGTAATGAAAGGGTGCAGAGATCTGTTATATATAGCGAAATTTGAAGTTCAATTCAGATTGGTATTATTGGAATGGCTGATGCAAGAGCATACATAAGCATATTGGTTTAATCGGCAAAAAGATGAGGTTGTGATGAAAAACTATAATTCTGTGGGCTTCTGGACTTGATATTTGAACCCTTTTTTTTCTGTTCCAAGTAAACTCCATTTTAGCACGTGTCTAACCAATGAATCTGAGTGTTCTAATTAAAAAGGGATAAACTCCATAGGCCATAAACATCAAACAACAAACAAAACATGTGAAAGGCATTATATATGACCATCATCGACTCACAAATCAGACTAAAATCTACTCGAGTCAAAAAGTGTTTAATACTTGGGGTGATGACAATCTAAAATCGATTTGATTCTGAATTAGTGTCGACTGAATTCAATTTGGACCTGGTTATTTTGGATTTGAACTCGACATGAGAACAACCTGAACTCTAATTGAACTTGATAATGTGATAATCGAATCCGATCTACATCAGACTTGATATGAACCCGAACTCGAAATTAACCTAGTAAATAATTGATATTACCCAAATTGTTATCAACCTGACCTGTTATGAACGTGATTAGTTGTAAATCTAACATGTAATTGACTTAATTGACCTGACTTGTTATGAAACCAATCTGATATTGACCTACTTGGTATTTATCTTACTTGTAAGTTATAATTGATTAAATTGTGAGATTATGAATTTATGATATTATAGTGTGACAAAATTATTCTTCACTATTTAAGGTACATGGCTATTTATGATAATATCTAATTATTTACAATTGAGAATAAATGACCTCTCATGCCTTAAAGCAGTCATTTATTACTTCAATCGAAATGAAGAGATATCACTATTTCGTCTTAAAATTCAATATTGATTCAAGAAAAAAAAACGATAATATCTAATTATTTCCAATCGAGAATACCTCTTATGCCTTAAAACATTCATTTACTACTCCAATCAAAATGAAGAGATATCACTATTTCATCTTAAAATTCAATATTGATTCGAGAGAAAACAGTAATATCTAATTATTTCCAATCAAGAATACATGACCTCTCATGCCTTAAAGCAGTCATTTATTACTCCAATCGAAATGAAGAGATATCATTGTTTCGTCTTAAAATTCAATATTGACTCGAGAGAAAACCATAATATCTAATTATTTCCAATCGAGAATAAATGACCTTTTATGCCTTTAAGCATACATTTATTACTCCAACAGAAATGAAAAGATATTACTATTTTCAATATTAATTCGAGTGTTATTTATTTTGAAATCTCATTGAAAAATACATAAAAAAATAAAACAAGTTAAAAGCATACATCAAACAAGTACCATCAATTATTTATTTTACCCACGTTTAATGAGAATAATGATGTTCAATTATTTAAATACATCGAGACAACCTTAGATTTGATCTAACAGTCTTTTCTCGGTGAACTTAATTAAAAGAACATGATCTTTTTCTCAATCCCCAAATTTTAAAATACAATCAATTTTTTTAGTTTCACTTGGTAGGATACCTTTTTATTTTAAGAATATTGAAAGTGACCTCTTATTCTTTAAAACAATCACTTCCCTTAATCTCAAAATAAATTGATAATCCTTTAGCCAAAGTATTTTGATCGAATCAAAAAAGGTTTATGTGGGTACCATGCAAATTAATTCCAATCAAAATCTAAACTTGTATATATATAAATCACATAAATATAATAATATATAATACTTAATGGTAAACCGATATATAAAAAAAATTAATTATAATTACTTCATTCATTACCTTAGTATATCATGTAAATAAAATAATAATTTAAAAATGTAATATGTGAATTTAAAAAATATTATACACATGTAACTCGGAAATATAAAGAATATAACATAGTATGTTTTAGTACGAATATATATATATATATATTATATATATATATATATATAAACATGTTACACAAATATCATATAAATATAAATAATATAATGAATTCATGAAATATCAAACGAATCAAATATACAATCTTATGATTAAATAAATGAAAAGAAATTGAAACTTTAAAG